CGGTAGACTGCTCACCATCGAGCGTCCACGCCGCTAATCACGTCACTTCCACTTTTCGTCTCTCTGGTCGCGGGGTGAAGATGGTGGTCCTCGTTCGTCAATTTGTGCTCGAAGGCCGCCGGAGCTCTTGGGCGGAGAGGCTAGGTGGAGTGCGACAACAACGGCTGGATGCGGCTCTACTACTTGCGTCGTTCTTGTTCAAGTACCCCCATTTACAGCTTCTGCCGATGACTTCGGCTCCAAATTCTGCGGATTTGTAGGTTTCAGTTCCGGATTTTTGTTTCGCCGGCGTTCTGGTGTGGCAGTGGTCGGGCTGGGGTTCGTCCTTGGGGGCTGTATTAGGATCTTGGGTTCGTGATTTGGTCGGACCGTCTCTTTCTTGCCGAACTGGAAGGTCTCTGGCTCTGGTGCCTCTGTTGTGCTGGGGTGTTGGGTCGGGGTTCGTCCTTGCGGGTAGGTGGATAGGCGGTCGTTTCAGGCTAGGTTCGTCCCTTGGAGCAGGTTCGGAGTGGCTGTGCTCTGATGTCATTCGTCCCCTTTCTCCCATTTCTCGATTTATGAGTTCGTGGAAAGCCGTCTGTTTTCAGAGTTGGCTAGTGGTGTTAGGCAATTTCGAGATGGTTTTGGATTGGCTAGTGGTGTTAGCCGGTTGGGGGGCGATTGTGGTTTCTTGCAGTTGGTGTGCGGGTCGATTTTTTGGTTTGTTTTGAGGCTTGGGTTATCGTCTTGCTAGGCCTTATGCAGTGGCGGGCGTTGTATCGGATCTTAGGAGCTCTCCTAAGTATTGACTTTGTCTGTTGTCTTTTCAGATGTATCTGCTGAGGGAAGCTGTTTGTTTCTTAGTTTGTAGTTTTGTTTTCTGTGTGTTGCGTTAGCTTGTTCTTGTTTGTCTTGTCAGTGTTTTAGGTTTGGGCCGTTGACCTCAGTTAGCCCGAGCGTGACTTTATTATCCTGTTGGGACCGTACACTCGGGCATTGCCCTGTTGGGGTTGTTTTCTGTCTTGTTTTGTTTTGTTTTTTATTCTCCCCATGGGAGTTTTTAGTGTCATCGTGGTAGTTTTGTATTTTTAGAGTATTACTCTGTTTGGTCGATTCTAGGCGGTCTTCGGACTTGTCCTTCCAGTTTATTCAGTTGTTAGTTGCTTGTATCCAGTTGTTGGTTGTCTGTATTCAGCTAGTGACTGTTCTTTGCACATTTGTGCACTTTTATATAAAATCTCTGTTCTTCCGAAAAAAAGAAAAAAAAAACTCTTTATTGTGATACTGATGCAAAAACTTATTAACTTACTTACTATTATTTTTTTTAACTTATATCATACAAATAATTTATAATAAATTTGTTCAATTGATAAATAATTTCATTTTTTACAAATTAACAAAAACTTAATAGATTGTGACTATATGTATTTTGATTTCTTATAATTATTAGATTACACAATTAATATTAATTTACAAGAATCCTGCCGAATTTTGGGTTTTTCAATTATGATTACTATTTTGTCATTAAAAATATATCATTATATAATGATTTTATAATCCATTCATTTTTTTTTTCTTTTTTTACACAATCATTCCATTTTTTATAATAATATAAATACATATAGATAGATAAATATAGGTAGATATATAGATAGATTGACAAATTAGTTTATTAAATTTAATGTGCGAGAAATTTGTGTATATTTTTTTCACATGCCAACTTGTGTGTACTAACTTTTTTGTAACAGTGCCAATGCCTCTTGTCCCCAATAGCTCAATTCATTATTGTGAAAATTTCATATTCATAACCCCAAAATTCATTCATTTGAACAACACAGTTGAAAATTGATCTGTATTTGTATAATATCCGCTGGAAAACTACACATATAAATGTTTATATGTACTTGACTTTAACGTAATAGTAACAAAGCTCTAACATATGATTCGTCAAATTTTTAATAAAATGTATCATAATTAGTTTTTCAAAACGAAAAATAAAAATAAAAAATAAATAAAAACAGAGCAGACGAAAGTGGTGATAATGGAGTGGGAAATAAAAAATAAGAGAAGCAGTTGCAACAAGTTACTAATAATGAAGAAAAAAAAAAGCTGAATAACAAATATTTTCCATCATTGTATGCAAATGCATTGCAGCTTGGCTGAGCATTGACTTCTATTTTTATTTTTATTTTCCTTTTATTTTCCTTTTTTTCTTTTTAATTGCATTTTTTTCCATGTCGTATTAAATAATTAGGCAAAATTACAAAAATGATACATTAAGTTGGCTGTTGTCAACAAAAGAGACACTATGTTGTCACTCATGGAAAAGATACACTTAGTTGGCTTTTTGCACGAAAAAAATACATATTTAGAAAAATGATACACTAAGTCGGGCATAATCAATCCAAAGTCAGACATAAGTAATACACTTAGTGTATCATTTTTGTAAATATATATCTTTTTCGTGCAAAAAGCCAACTAAGTGTATCTTTTCCATGAGTGACAACATAGTGTCTCTTTTGTTGACAACGGCCAACTTAGTGTATCATTTTTGTAATTTTGCTTAAATAATTATATATAATAATTAATAATATTGGCACCGCCTTTGGCCCTCTCTTTCTAATTTTCTCCCTCCTTTATATATTCTCTGCATTTTTCCGTCTCTTTTCATTCGCCCATCAAAAAACAAAAAAAGACTAAAGTGATTGTATAATTTTCATCTTCTTCTTGTTCTTCACCACAATCTCCTCTCTCTGTTCTTGTTTTTTTTTTCGGCTTTCATAATATTTTTATTTTTTTTCATATTTATGTATTGTATTGTATAATTTATATTTTTCTACTAATAATATTAATCCTGGATCTTTTTCCTTTACTCTTTATTCCTTGATCATAATTTTATAAAAGCCTTCCCAGCATGTAATTGTTTCTCCTAATCCACTCAAATCTCTTTAATCCCCCAAAAAAAATTAAAAAAAAAAAA